TTTGCAATATGACTCGTCTGAACATGGGTTGGTTTTTAGTTGCGTATTTATATATAGACATTGATAGCTGACATGATTAGTCAAGTCATCAGGAAATTTCTTGGAATCATATCAACATGAGTGGTAGTGAAGGTTGATCATCTGGAGCGATGGTGAAGTCAAATCAACAAATCAACTGCACAAGTATAACACAAACTTGAATGGCTAAGCAACACACTATATGACAAAACGTGACCTGAATGGCTAAGCAACACACTATATGACAAAACGTGACCTGAATGGCTAACGTGACCTGAATGGCTAAGCAACACACTATATGACAAAACCTGACCTGAATGGCTAAGCAACACATCATATGACAAAACCTGACCTGAATGGCTAAGCAACACATCATATGACAAAACCTGACCTGAATGGCTAAGCAACACACTATATGACAAAACGTGACCTGAATGGCTAAGCAACGCACTATATGACAAAACTTGACCTGAATGGCTAAGCAACACATCATATGACAAAAGTTGACCTGAATGGCTAAGCAACACACTATATGACAAAACTTGACCTGAATGGCTAAGCAACACACTATATGACAAAACTTGACCTGAATGGCTAAGCAACGCACTATATGACAAAACTTGACCTGAATGGCTAAGCAACACACTATATGACAAAACGTGACCTGAATGGCTAAGCAACGCACTATATGACAAAACGTGACCTGAATGGCTAAGCAACACACTATATGACAAAACGTGACCTGAATGGCTAAGCAACACACTATATGACAAAACGTGACCTGAATGGCTAAGCAACACACTATATGACAAAACGTGACCTGAATGGCTAAGCAACACACTATATGACAAAACTTGACCTGAATGGCTAAGCAACACACTATATGACAAAACGTGACCTGAATGGTTAAGCAACACACTATATGACAAAACTTGACCTGAATGGCTAAGCAACACACTAAATGACAAAACTTGACCTGAATGGCTAAGCAACGCACTATATGACAAAACGTGACCTGAATGGCTAAGAACACACTATATGACAAAACGTGACCTGAATGGCTAAGCAACACACTATATGACAAAACTTGACCTGAATGGCTAAGCAACACACTATATGACAAAACGTGACCTGAATGGCTAAGCAACACACTATATGACAAAACGTGACCTGAATGGCTAAGCAACACACTATATGACAATAACATGACCTGAATGGCTAAGCAACACACTATATGACAATAACGTGACCTGAATGGCTAAGCAACACACTATATGACAAAACTTGACCTGAATGGCTAAGCAACACACTATATGACAAAACGTGACCTGAATGGCTAAGCAACACACTATATGACAAAACTTGACCTGAATGGCTAAGCAACACACTAAATGACAAAACTTGACCTGAATGGCTAAGCAACGCACTATATGACAAAACTTGACCTGAATGGCTAAGCAACGCACTATATGACAAAACGTGACCTGAATGGCTAAGCAACACACTATATGACAAAACGTGACCTGAATGGCTAAGCAACACACTATATGACAAAACTTGACCTGAATGGCTAAGCAACACACTATATGACAAAACTTGACCTGAATGGCTAAGCAACGCACTATATGACAAAACGTGACCTGAATGGCTAAGCAACACACTATATGACAAAACGTGACCTGAATGGCTAAGCAACGCACTATATGACAAAACGTGACCTGAATGGCTAAGCAACGCACTATATGACAAAACGAGACCTGAATGGCTAAGCAACGCACTATATGACAAAACGTGACCTGAATGGCTAAGTAACACACTATATGACAAAACGTGACCTGAATGGCTAAGCAACACACTATATGACAAAACGTGACCTGAATGGCTAAGCAACACACTATATGACAAAACGTGACCTGAATGGCTAAGCAACACACTATATGACAAAACGTGACCTGAATGGCTAAGCAACACACTATATGACAAAACGTGACCTGAATGGCTAAGCAACACACTATATGACAAAACGTGACCTGAATGGCTAAGCAACACACTATATGACAAAACGTGACCTGAATGGCTAAGCAACACACTATATGACAAAACGTGACCTGAATGGCTAAGCAACACACTATATGACAAAACCTGACCTGAATGGCTAAGCAACACACTATATGACAAAACGTGACCTGAATGGCTAAGCAACACACTATATGACAAAACGTGACCTGAATGGCTAAGCAACACACTATATGACAAAACGTGACCTGAATGGCTAAGCAACACACTATATGACAAAACGTGACCTGAATGGCTAAGCAACACACTATATGACAAAACGTGACCTGAATGGCTAAGCAACACACTATATGACAAAACGTGACCTGAATGGCTAAGCAACACACTATATGACAAAACGTGACCTGAATGGCTAAGCAACAACTATATGACAAAACGTACCTGAATGGCTAAGACAAAACAAAACGTGACCTGAATGGCTAAGCAACACACTATATGACAAAACGTGACCTGAATGGCTAAGCAACACACTATATGACAAAACGTGACCTGAATGGCTAAGCAACACACTATATGACAAAACACTATATGACAAAACGTGACCTGACAACACACTGACCTGAATGGCTAAGCAACACACTATATGACAAAACGTGACCTGAATGGCTAAGCAACACACTATATGACAAAACGTGACCTGAATGGCTAAGCAACACACTATATGACAAAACGTGACCTGAATGGCTAAGCAACACACTATATGACAAAACGTGACCTGAATGGCTAAGCAACACACTATATGACAAAACGTGACCTGAATGGCTAAGCAACACACTATATGACAAAACGTGACCTGAATGGCTAAGCAACACACTATATGACAAAACGTGACCTGAATGGCTAAGCAACACACTATATGACAAAACGTGACCTGAATGGCTAAGCAACACACTATATGACAAAACGTGACCTGAATGGCTAAGCAACACACTATATGACAAAACGTGACCTGAATGGCTAAGCAACACACTATATGACAAAACGTGACCTGAATGGCTAAGCAACACACTATATGACAAAACGTGACCTGAATGGCTAAGCAACACACTATATGACAAAACGTGACCTGAATGGCTAAGCAACACACTATATGACAAAACGTGACCTGAATGGCTAAGCAACACACTATATGACAAAACGTGACCTGAATGGCTAAGCAACACACTATATGACAAAACGTGACCTGAATGGCTAAGCAACACACTATATGACAAAACGTGACCTGAATGGCTAAGCAACACACTTTATGACAAAACGTGACCTGAATGGCTAAGCAACACACTTTATGACAAAACGTGACCTGAATGGCTAAGCAACACACTATATGACAAAACGTGACCTGAATGGCTAAGCAACACACTATATGACAAAACGTGACCTGAATGGCTAAGCAACACACTATATGACAAAACGTGACCTGAATGGCTAAGCAACACACTATATGACAAAACGTGACCTGAATGGCTAAGCAACACACTATATGACAAAACGTGACCTGAATGGCTAAGCAACACACTATATGACAAAACTTGACCTGAATGGCTAAGCTAAGCAACGCACTATATGACAAAACGTGACCTGAATGGCTAAGCAACACACTATATGACAAAACTTGACCTGAATGGCTAAGCAACACACTATATGACAAAACGTGACCTGAATGGCTAAGCAACACACTATATGACAAAACGTGACCTGAATGGCTAAGCAACACACTATATGACAAAACGTGACCTGAATGGCTAAGCAACACACTATATGACAAAACGTGACCTGAATGGCTAAGCAACGCACTATATGACAAAACGTGACCTGAATGGCTAAGCAACACACTATATGACAAAACTTGACCTGAATGGCTAAGCAACGCACTATATGACAAAACGTGACCTGAATGGCTAAGCAACACACTATATGACAAAACTTGACCTGAATGGCTAAGCAACACACTATATGACAAAACGTGACCTGAATGGCTAAGCAACACACTATATGACAAAACGTGACCTGAATGGCTAAGCAACGCACTATATGACAAAACGTGACCTGAATGGCTAAGCAACACACTATATGACAAAACCTGACCTGAATGGCTAAGCAACACACTATATGACAAAACGTGACCTGAATGGCTAAGCAACACACTATATGAAAAATCTGCGTAATTCTTATTCGGGAAAAATAAAACGCCCCTCAAAAAAGAAAGGATTACACGAGTCGTTAATCAAATTAAACGTCAAATCCCAACTAACGAACTGCAATAACGAGCTTCTGACCAGCGTTCAGACCTGCGAAGCTTCGTCTGTAAGTAGTAACGTCCTCGTTAACAAAGGCCAAATGCCCGTTAATCAAGTCTTCAGACCCTCGGTTTATGAATCAAAACCATTTTACACTCGATTACAGCCTGTCCTCTTGCTCAATTCGTTTAACCGACCCCAAAGACGCATTCATCAATTTTAACACATTATGCATTCAAAATTAGTATTTTCTGAAATTTTAGTAAATACTGTTACTAACTATCATGTGTTGAATAGTTAGGACTAACTTAGGTTAGGTGGATAAGGGTCGTTTGGTCATTAATGATGTTTGCAGTTCGTAGATGAAGCATTTAGAGGTGCGATTCGAACAGAGGAAGTGAACGAAACACTGTTCGACAAAAGTAATTACGTGCAGATGAGAAGTCACAATAACGTGGCTGAAATGTGTTCGAATCGCATCTCTGCAAATACGTCGTCCACATAATACAAATGCTAATAATTGCCAACAGAACCTAACCTACACCTAACGATGAGGTTAGTCATAGGTTAGGCGTAGACTCATCTACGCCTAAATGAGTCTTTGGCAAGTTTGGATTATCGTAGATGAGATCACTGCATATTGATGCGTAAACAGCCTGCCGAACTTACCTGTGCGTCGCCATCTCGGCTTTGTAGAGGTCCTGCTCGGAGTCGGAGTTGTGAACGTTGGGTACGATGCCGTATAGGGACCGGACGGTGGCCGGGTCGAAGCACGCCGGCCGGAATGGCCCGGTGAGGACGGCCATTGTGGTGTAGTGGTGCGCTGTTACCACCCGGATACCGAAGGTCAGCTCCACACGAATGTCCCGCTCAATAAATGTCTGTGGAAGTGATATTGGGAGTGGTCATCGTTTGGGGTGATATTGGGAGTGGTCAACGTTTGTGGTGATATTGGGAGTGGTCAGGGTTGGTGTGGTCAACGTTTGTGGTGATATTGGGAGTGGTCAACGTTTGTGGTGATATTGGGAGTGGTCAGGGTTGGTGTGGTCAACGTTTGTGGTGATATTGGGAGTGGTCAGGGTTGGTGTGGTCAACGTTTGTGGTGATATTGAGAGTGGTCAGGGTTGGTGTGGTCAACGTTTGTGGTGATATTGGGAGTGGTCAGGGATGGTGTGGTCAACGTTTGTGGTGATATTGGGAGTGGTCAGGGTTGGTGAGACCAAGATCTGTTGAAGTAACGCTTGGGGGTGGTCAAGGCTGTTATGATCAACATGTTGAGAAGTGATATTCTAGAGGTGTCAAGGCTGGTGTGATAGAAGACCTTGGAGGTGATGTTTGAGGTGGTAAAAGTGCATTGACAAAAAATCTGAGAATGGTGAGGGGGGGGGGGGGTATGGACGTGTTATCTTGAAATAAAAAAGCCGTCACCACTTGGAATGGATAAAAGAGAGATGGTTCTGCTTTGAAGGAGTAGGAGAGGGAAGGTGGTGAAGGAGAGGGAAGGTGGTGAAGGAGAGGGAAGGTGGTGAAGGAGAGGGAAGGTGGTGAAGGAGAGGGAAGGTGGTGAAGGAGAGGGAAGGTCGTGAATGGAAGAAAAGATGGTGAAAGGTTGCGGTATTAAAGTATTTGGAGTCCTTGTCGACCCGAGCTCCAAAAGGCTGGATGGTGGGTGCCAACCCTGTCTCCCCCTCTCTCATTCTCTCTCTCTCACTCTCTCTCTCTCTCTCACTCTCTCTCTCACTCTCTCTATTACACACACATATATATATATATATATATATATATATATATATATATATATATATATATATATATATATATATATATATATATAAATATATATATTATAAAATATATCCCTACTGCCATAAAGCCAAAAATCGTAGGGACTTAATTTCATGGTCGACATAACTCAATAATTGACGAGCTTAAGAGATTAATAACTTGAGTATCAGCTGAAAGGTGAAGACGATGAGGGGACATGAGGTAGGAGAGAGAAGTGAGGAAGGTGAAGATGCTGAGGAAGGTGAAGATGCTGAGGAAGGTGAAGATGCTGAGGAAGGTGAAGATGCTGAGGAAGGTGAAGATGCTGAAGAAGGTGAAGATGCTGAGGAAGGTGAAGATGCTGAGGAAGGTGAAGAATGTGAGGCAAATAAAGAAAATGAGACAGATCTAGAATATACAAAAGGGGTGGAGGCCAAAGGAGTTAGATCCCACTGGATTCAATACCATATATGAAAATAATAATATTGCGACAAATAATTCTGCTTTTGACTTTCTTAAAGGTGAGAAACACCTTAAATGTTGTATTCATATGGTTGCTAACTATTTTAATATATGATAATCCTCAATATCTTGAGGCAATATTTCCTTCTCTTGGATCTCGTATTTTTCTGGACTGTTCAAATCCTCGATAAGTCAAGTGATTGAAACTTGGTTCCTTTATTATCTTCAGTTGACAGAAAGACAAGGAAATTAGGAGGATTTATAACCTAAATTGTCTTGTAGTGTAGCGGGAGCGCTTCTTACTCTGCTGGAGAGTCCTCATGACATGAGGTCTCTCATGTCTTGTGAGACATGAGATGTAAGACATGATACATGGGTACTCCACATGGTAACATGAGGGGTACCTCTTCTCTCATGAGGTAACATGAGGGGTACCACTTCTCTCATGAGGTAACATGAGGGGTACCTCTTCTCTCATGAGGTAACATGAGGGGTACCACTTCTCTCATGAGGTAACATGAGGGGTACCTCTTCTCTCATGAGGTAACATGAGGGGTACCTCTTCTCTCATGAGGTAACATGAGGGGTACCACTTCTCTCATGAGGTAACATGAGGGGTACCACTTCTCTCATGAGGTAACATGAGGGGTACCTCTTCTCTCATGAGGTAACATGAGGGGTACCACTTCTCTCATGAGGTAACATGAGGGGTACCACTTCTCTCATGAGGTAACATGAGGGGTACCTCTTCTCTCATGAGGTAACATGAGGGGTACCATTTCTCTCATGAGGTAACATGAGGGGTACCACTTCTCTCATGAGGTAACATGAGGGGTACCACTTCTCTCATGAGGTAACATGAGGGGTACCATTTCTCTCATGAGGTAACATGAGGGGTACCACTTCTCTCATGAGGTAACATGAGGGGTACCACTTCTCTCATGAGGTAACATGAGGGGTACCACTTCTCTCATGAGGTAACATGAGGGGTACCACTTCTCTCATGAGGTAACATGAGGGGTACCACTTCTCTCATGAGGTAACATGAGGGGTACCACTTCTCTCATGAGGTAACATGAGGGGTACCTCTTCTCTCATGAGGTAACATGAGGGGTACCTCTTCTCTCATGAGGTAACATGAGGGGTACCACTTCTCTCATGAGGTAACATGAGGGGTACCTCTTCTCTCATGAGGTAACATGAGGGGTACCACTTCTCTTATGAGGTAACATGAGGGGTACCACTTCTCTCATGAGGTAACATGAGGGGTACCACTTCTCTCATGAGGTAACATGAGGGGTACTTCTCTCATGAGGTAACATGAGGGGTACCTCTTCTCTCATGAGGTAACATGAGGGGTACCATGAGGTAACTTCTCTCATGAGGTAACATGAGGGGTACCACTTCTCTCATGAGGTAACATGAGGGGTACCACTTCTCTCATGAGGTAACATGAGGGGTACCACTTCTCTCATGAGGTAACATGAGGGGTACCACTTCTCTCATGAGGTAACATGAGGGGTACCACTTCTCTCATGAGGTAACATGAGGGGTACCACTTCTCTCATGAGGTAACATGAGGGGTACCACTTCTCTCATGAGGTAACATGAGGGGTACCACTTCTCTCATGAGGTAACATGAGGGGTACCACTTCTCTCATGAGGTAACATGAGGGGTACCACTTCTCTCATGAGGTAACATGAGGGGTACCACTTCTCTCATGAGGTAACATGAGGGGTACCACTTCTCTCATGAGGTAACATGAGGGGTACCTCTTCTCTCATGAGGTAACATGAGGGGTACCACTTCTCTCATGAGGTAACATGAGGGGTACCACTTCTCTCATGAGGTAACATGAGGGGTACCACTTCTCTCATGAGGTAACATGAGGGGTACCACTTCTCTCATGAGGTAACATGAGGGGTACCACTTCTCTCATGAGGTAACATGAGGGGTACCACTTCTCTCATGAGGTAACATGAGGGGTACCACTTCTCTCATGAGGTAACATGAGGGGTACCACTTCTCTCATGAGGTAACATGAGGGGTACCACTTCTCTCATGAGGTAACATGAGGGGTACCACTTCTCTCATGAGGTAACATGAGGGGTACCACTTCTCTCATGAGGTAACATGAGGGGTACCACTTCTCTCATGAGGTAACATGAGGGGTACCACTTCTCTCATGAGGTAACATGAGGGGTACCACTTCTCTCATGAGGTAACATGAGGGGTACCACTTCTCTCATGAGGTAACATGAGGGGTACCACTTCTCTCATGAGGTAACATGAGGGGTACCACTTCTCTCATGAGGTAACATGAGGGGTACCACTTCTCTCATGAGGTAACATGAGGGGTACCACTTCTCTCATGAGGTAACATGAGGGGTACCACTTCTCTCATGAGGTAACATGAGGGGTACCACTTCTCTCATGAGGTAACATGAGGGGTACCACTTCTCTCATGAGGTAACATGAGGGGTACCACTTCTCTCATGAGGTAACATGAGGGGTACCACTTCTCTCATGAGGTAACATGAGGGGTACCACTTCTCTCATGAGGTAACATGAGGGGTACCACTTCTCTCATGAGGTAACATGAGGGGTACCACTTCTCTCATGAGGTAACATGAGGGGTACCACTTCTCTCATGAGGTAACATGAGGGGTACCACTTCTCTCATGAGGTAACATGAGGGGTACCACTTCTCTCATGAGGTAACATGAGGGGTACCACTTCTCTCATGAGGTAACATGAGGGGTACCACTTCTCTCATGAGGTAACATGAGGGGTACCACTTCTCTCATGAGGTAACATGAGGGGTACCACTTCTCTCATGAGGTAACATGAGGGGTACCACTTCTCTCATGAGGTAACATGAGGGGTACCACTTCTCTCATGAGGTAACATGAGGGGTACCACTTCTCTCATGAGGTAACATGAGGGGTACCACTTCTCTCATGAGGTAACATGAGGGGTACCACTTCTCTCATGAGGTAACATGAGGGGTACCACTTCTCTCATGAGGTAACATGAGGGGTACCACTTCTCTCATGAGGTAACATGAGGGGTACCACTTCTCTCATGAGGTAACATGAGGGGTACCACTTCTCTCATGAGGTAACATGAGGGGTACCACTTCTCTCATGAGGTAACATGAGGGGTACCACTTCTCTCATGAGGTAACATGAGGGGTACCACTTCTCTCATGAGGTAACATGAGGGGTACCACTTCTCTCATGAGGTAACATGAGGGGTACCACTTCTCTCATGAGGTAACATGAGGGGTACCACTTCTCTCATGAGGTAACATGAGGGGTACCACTTCTCTCATGAGGTAACATGAGGGGTACCACTTCTCTCATGAGGTAACATGAGGGGTACCACTTCTCTCATGAGGTAACATGAGGGGTACCACTTCTCTCATGAGGTAACATGAGGGGTACCACTTCTCTCATGAGGTAACATGAGGGGTACCACTTCTCTCATGAGGTAACATGAGGGGTACCACTTCTCTCATGAGGTAACATGAGGGGTACCACTTCTCTCATGAGGTAACATGAGGGGTACCACTTCTCTCATGAGGTAACATGAGGGGTACCACTTCTCTCATGAGGTAACATGAGGGGTACCACTTCTCTCATGAGGTAACAT